TGGCCCAAGATAGAGAAATCCACATGGGCCACGAAAGCTTGGAACCACAGACCTCTGTCTCGTTAGTGCAGAGCTGCAGCCGACAGAGCTAATCAGCAGTTCAGTGGCAGCCGTTTTTCCATCAAACCCATATGCTGTTTCCTGACTTCTTAACGCAGCGTGCTATTTATACCCGTAGATCCATTCATTCTTAATGAGCCACGGTTGTGGATTGTAAAATGTTTTATTTTCATACAGGATTGCTCACTGCCCAGAGCCAGCTGTTGCTATGCCACCTTCCTTCTTTCTCTGTTCCTAAGAAATTAACGTTTTGGAAGCTCCTCAGAGCGCTCAGCTGCCCTCTCCCACTCCCTACTCACCTCCCAGTGTGTCCCCAGCCAGACTCTGGACTTGCCATTTCTGTCACGTTGGCCCGGACGTGGCACATGAACTCCCTTCAGCCTTCTGAGCAGCTGGGAGGGTGTGTTATATGCAGGGGGCCAGGCTGGCGGAGGCTTGGAGAAGGAAGCAGAGGATGGCAGAGCAGGAGGGCTTCCATGTTGCGAAGTGGGATTCCATCTGTCCTCCAATGGTTGGACATTTGCCCATGTTAGAGGTTGCAACTCGATCTGGCTTAGTGCTTTAAGTTCACCAACAACTTTTTTTTTAATGTGGAGATTTCTTAAAAAGATGGAATTCTGGCTGCTTTTTTGAACATCAGAAAGTCTGCCAATACTGCCCCCTCCCTGGACAAATTGAACAGGCTAAGTAGCAGCTTCCCTCTTCACACTGGGCACACAGTCTCAGGTTTGCCCCAGTCCCCACCCTTCCCTGTTGCCTCTTGCCACTCTGATCGTCACCCTTACAGGGTTATTAAGAAGAAAATGAAATAGTTCTTGTTTCCACATCCCTGTGAAAAGAGAGAGACACTAGGGATTAGACCAACAGGAACATCTGTTGCAACAAAAGTAGGCATACTTCTCTGCGGAAATAAATACTCATATCCAGATATATCATGATAAATATATCAAAATAAATATCACGTCCAGCCCACCTCACCCACTGACCCTGTCGGCTGACCAGTGGAAGGCAGAGCCTGGCCGTGTCACATCTGTGCCTCTCCACTCCCGATCCTGACCCCAGGCTAGGGAAACTAGTTTTTGGACGTCCTTCTTCTTCTCTGGGCTCTGGTTGCCCCAGGAGTAGGATGGAGATGAGGGGGCCGGGACAGAGTCTGTTCTCTTCCAGCTTTCATATCTTACAGTTCCAAATCCAAGGGAAGGGAACTTTCTGGAGAAATTTCTGGCAGGTGGTGAAGTAGCTCACAGATCATACACGGAGGCTGCCCCTGCTGCAGAGACCAGCCCCATCTGAGCACTGGCCCTGCCCGCTGTGCGCACGCGCCCGCAAGCTCGCACGCATGCGCACGCAAGCACGCACGCAGGCGCGCGCAGGAGCCGGGAAGGTTTAGAGAGGAGGGTGGGAGACGCCATCTTCCAACGTCTGAGAAGGCTGTGCGGGTTCGTCGCAGTACCCTGGAAGCTCCTGATTCGAGTGTGCATGGGGTAGGTCTGCTGTCTGGGGCTCCCACCAGCCATTTGGGGAACTGAATGGCTGCCTTCTCCGCAGGTGGGGATGGCGCTCAGTTGCCGGAGCCCCTGTGGGCCGTACCGGGGCAAACCCCCGCCGCCAGTCAGTTGGCAGTCTTCTCGTGTGGCCGCCATTCCTGCACGCCCTGAAGGCCTGGGGACCGTTGGCTTGTAGGTCTGTGCAGGTGAACGAGGCGGCCTCCGTGCCGAGTGGCCGGATAAAATCAAGGATGGTCGCTGCCGAGGCTTGCATGGGTGCTCGCTGCAGGCTGTGCCAGGCGCGGTGCGTTCCTTGTTTCATGGTGTCCCCTGACGACCCGGGCAGGGTGAGCGGTGTACTTCTGTGGTCCCATGTTAAAGTGGGGCGCCAAGAGGTCGGATAACTTGCGTCATAATCTCCGTGTGGACAGAAAGAGCCCCTTGGCGTTCAGGAAACTGCCCTTTCCCTAAATCTCAGGGAAGTCTTGTGCGGCTGTGTTTTGAAAGAGAAACCCATGCATACTAATTTGCTCTGACCTTCGGAGCCCTTGATGAAGCCAAACGCTAGCCCGATGCCAGTGTGTGGGAAGGGGGAGGGGGGCATCCCCAGAACAGAAGCCTGAAGCTTCAGAGAGCTGTGTCGCCCCCACTGCTGCGCCCCACCCCTGCCCCAGCAGCACCCCCTGCAGTCCTGGGCATCCTCCTTGGCTTGGGGATTGATTTCCCAAGAGCAGAAGGCCGCCATTAGCCACACCACAGAGGTCAGGGGTATGGCTGTCCATTCTCATTGGTTTAAGCCCACTGACAGCCTCAGTTGATTGGATGATTCCAGCTGCAAGGCAAGGTGTTGGGCCTCCTTGTCCCCACTCCCACCCCATCTGAGCCAACACCGGGAAGCAGGGTCCAGCCCCCCGAGCCAGCCTCTGGCTTCAGTTAATTGTGTGTGCAGAACTCTCAGCAGGAGCCGGGCCAGGGCCGGGCTCCACCCTGTGCCGTGAAGCACACCCTCTCTAGCCGCTCACCCGTCTCAGTGTGGAAACCTACAACTCTGTTCTGCCCACTCTAGATTTCTCAGCCTCTAGGGGCCTGGGTGAAGTGAATAAACCCGGGCCTGCCTGCCCTGTCCAACGCCAGTAAAGCCCAAGGAGATAGCAGTGCCAGCTCTGCTCAACTCCTCAGCTCTCTCCTGCGGCCCCCCGTTTGTCATAGGTGAAGGCCGGCCTGGCACATAGGCTGAGCTCACTCCCCACTGCTGGCCCCGGAGCCACAGCAAGGATAGGAGAGTCCGTCTGCCCAGATCTCCATACAGGACAGGGGGGCCAGGCCTCTCCGGCCTCACTTGCCTCTGGGTCCACCTGGGGTTCAGGTAGACCTGGCAGCCCATCCCCCACATCCAGGTTCTGAGCACAGACCCCATGGCCCTGAGCCTCTGCCCAGGTGGGGGAACGGCAGGTATGAACCCAGAAGCCAGGAAGGCTGACCCTGAGGGAATGGGACAGAGAGGCCTGGGAAGGAGAGAGATGCTGAGAGGTAAGATTGGAGAGAGAGAACCTGACCAAAAACAGAAAGAGGAACCAAGAGAAAACCCCAGGAAGACCCAGAACACAAAGGCATACAAGATACACAAGACAGGAAAGAAAGACGAGGGAAGCAAAGGCAAGAGATTTTTTTTAAATATCGGCAAAAAAAGAGGCACAAAGACACAAAAGACGAAGGCCCAGAGACCCACAGAGACGGAAGGAGCGAGAGCTATGGTCAATGACAGAACCAAGGCACATTTTGCATCCCAGCAAAGGCAGGAGATGTTCACTCACTTTGTTTCATCTCTGCTATAAATCAGCAATAACTTGCCAGAGAGAAATAGTGCAGAGCACATCCAAGCATACCTCATCCCCTCAGTGCCTGAGCCTGGAGCCTTCCTTTTGAGCCAGCGGGGCTGTCGGGCCCCAGAGAAGCCCACCACCTGGCCTTTGCCCTTCCTGTTCTCTATCAGGAATGCAAGACACACACTGGCCCCAGAATTTCTATCCCAGCGTTTCTGTCTAAATTGTGCCCGTTTTTAAATTCCACCTTTTCCAAGAAGCCCTCCCTGACTTCCCGTCTCCCTGAACATTCTCTGCCTCCCCTTGAGAGTATCACGTTCTCTCTGGAGGAAGCTGTTCTTATCTTACATCCATCCACCTCCTGTTCTATCTGGAGCTCCTCCAACAAGGGCAGGACTACAGGATTTCAATGCTGGCGACCACATCACTATTGATTTGAGGATTCGTCTTCATTATCCAGCGCCTCCTGTCTGTCTGTGAGCCCAAAGGAAGGAGTTAATTAAATCAGTGGTGAAGGAGTGAACAAGCACAGGAAACTCTCCACTCCCCAAACTCTGAATTCCCAACCTGGTCTGTGCTGTCCCTGCTGATGTCCTTGGTGGCCGCCCGAAAGGGAGACCAAGGAAGAAGGCCCCCCTGGGTGCCTGCCACATGGTCACCCCGCCCTTCTGAGGTTGTCCTGTGATATCTCCACCTCACCATTGAGGAAATAAAGCTCAGGGCTGTCAGGCGGTTGGCAAGCAAAGGTCACCCAGATCTCCTGACTCCGGGGTCCAGGAAGGAGGGAGGCAGGCTCTGCCCCCTCAGGCTTCCCAGGATCCATCCCTGTGAGGACAGGTTCCCCTGGCCTTGAGGCCACCCATCTCCTTGTTCAGGCCTTGGAAGGAGTTTCCCAAACAAAGGAAGCACCTGTTCCTCTGGTCTGGCCTTGGATTTGAAAGAAGAGCAGGTTCTGTGTGAACAGTGCATCAGCCCCCCCCCCACTACTTCCCCCCCAGGGCCCACCCACCCCATATCTGTGACAACCAGCCTCTGACCGCCCCTCCCCCCATCTGTCTCTGGCTCAGGCTGAGGCCACCAGCAGCCTGACTTGTCCCACTTGAGTGTCCTGCAAGGGGGAGGAGGCCACGAGGAGGCGCCTGCTGGGTCCACCCCTTCTGGAGATGGAGCTGGCTCGCCACCCCCTTGCTGACCACCGTCCAGTCCAGCTGTCTCTGTTCACTGCTGTGTCCTCTCCTGGGGAGATATTTCCAGAAAGCAGGTATTTCCTGAGTGCCTGCTTGACCCAAAGCTCAGTGCTGGGGGCCAAGGAAAGGAACCAGATGCAGATTGAGACAGGGCCCCGCCCTCAAGTGGTTCCTGGGACAGCTGGGGAAATCAAGGCAGGCATTCATAGGGAAAAAAATGCAATGCCTGGCGGTGTGTGAGGGGCCAGAAGAGCTGCCCCAGCAGTCATGGGGAGATCGAGGAAGGGCCTGTCTCCCATCACTCTTTCCCCGGAGGCTGGAGACACTTTTTGGTAGAGGCACAATTTAGATGGGTTCCTGGAGGATGAACTGGAATCGAATTTTTAAAAATATTTACAGGCCTGCATAGCATTTTTTTTTTTAAGATTTTATTTATTTATTTGACAGAGACACAGCGAGAGAGGGAACACAAGCAGGGGGAGTGGGAGAGGGAGAAGCAGGCTTCCCGCGGAGCAGGCAGCCCAATGCGGGGCTCCATCCCAGGACCCTGGGATCATGACCTGAGCTGAAGGTAGACGCTTAACGACTGAGCCACCCAGGCGCCCCTCTGCATAGCATTTTGAACTTGCAGTGCCTTTTGTACTACTTGATCTTATTGCCTTGGGGTTGCTCCTGTTTGTGTTTCACATATGAGCAGATTGAGGCTCGGGGAGATGAAGGTCTCTGCCCAGGAGTGTCCAAGGCAGAGCCAGGGCCAGACCCCGGATGTGGGGAGGGAGCTAGAAGTCTCTCACGTTGCAGCACCTGCCTCTGGCGGGAAAGGCCTGGAGAAAAACCCAGAAAGGGTGTGTTGGGGATACTGAGGAGGAACTGGCCCGCCTGGAGGGGAAGACTCCGAGGGAGCAGAGCTCAGAGGGGAGGACGAGGCCAGACTGCCGGGTGCCCTGCCTGCTGGGAGGGGAGGAAAGAGCAGAGGTCTCAGCAGGAGCTAGACCTCAGCTCAAATCCCAGCTCAGGCTGCAAATGGCCCCTGAAGCCATCTCGTGCCTCCAGCACAACCTAGGAATCCACGCCCCCCAGAGAAGGCAAGCCCGCCCCTGTGAGGTTGGCCCTGGCATCAAATGCTGTGACCCCAGAAGCCAGCCCTGCACCTCGTGGTGTGGGCCATGAGTTCAGGAGGAGCCCCTCAAGCAAAAAGCTCCTCCCATGTGCCAGACACCACCTGAGTTTCCTCGAGGATGCTCACAACAACCCAGAAAAGGATCCAGCAGAGCCAGTGCCCCTTCACCACCCCATACCTCCCCCCTGCAACCATCAAACAGAGCCTCAGACTTGGGAGGCGTCTCAGTGGGATTTCAGGCTGCAGGCCTGGCCCTCTCTGCAGGTGAGACAGCCCTCACCTGTCCCAGTGGGGACAATTCTGCCACTGCCCTCTGCAGCCTGGTAGGCAGGGTAAGGCTAATTGGGGATGTCTATGCATTCCCTGGGGCTTTATCATCTTCCCTTTACATTAAAAAAAAATTTATTTTGGTTTTAGTATGCAAAATTTTCCACCATCTGCCTTGCCTTGGCAGAATGTTTGCTGAAAATATCTCTCTTCCTCTCTAATTCCCATCGTTTCTGGGGGCTTTGGAAGCCTCCCAGGCTCACGGGCTGTCCTTGCGCCAGCAGGCAGATGTTGTGGCCCAGAAGTCACATCTCCCCACCTCTCAGCCAGAGAGGGACCCCGGGCACTCTCCGCTGATGAAACAGAGCCAACCTGAGGTTGAATCCTAGGGTTCAGGCCGAGTAGCTGTCCAGATTGGTCTCTCTGTGTGTGATAAAGCCCTGAGAGATGCCCAGGGTCACAAAGACAGGTGGTGGCAGAGAAGAGCCGGGAGCTAGGTCCCCCCGAATCCCAATGCAGTGCTGTGAGGTCAAGTGGCCAGCATCCTGCCTGTCACCTGGACCATCCCAGGCAAGGTGTCTTCACAGGACGGCAGCTGCTACATGTGTCCTTTGAGGCAGTCAGGAGAGACTTTCCAAAAGGGAAGACTTCCCCCCACCTTCATGTACCAAAACTCTTGAGTTTCCATGGTGACAGTCAAATTGCAAACCCATCTAAGAGTGAGCCAGGGAAAAAAAAAAAGAAAAGCTGGCCTCTCCCCAGAGAAGTGGGCATGGCTGGCGCTGGGGCTAGCCGCTGCTGAGGAGGAGAGCTGAGCAGAGTGGGGCAGCCCTTCTGGGGCATGATGGGAAAGTCTCAGGGATGCCAGCTCCCCAAGCAAGGGGTCCCGGGTCTCAGGCCGCTGGGGTGGGGGAGGCGCCCCCTCCTCCCTCCTGGCAGAGCCCAGGTGAGTCCATTTGGTGACTCCTCCTCCTTGGGAAGATGAGTGGGACAGTCTTCTCCCCAGTGTTTTCCCATCTTCGATCTGCAAAATCAGGCGTGGGCTGAATACAAGCACTCATCACTAAGCCATCCTAGACTGTCTTGGGGGGAATTAGAAGGGAGAAATCAGCCTTCAGATACACACAGTGTTTTGTTGAGGATGGAAGAGCAAGGGCCAAAAGATTGATGAGCCTCAAAGCTTCTTTAATAGACCTGGAAGATTCACGATCACAGCTGCTGGGCGACAAGAAAGGTGGCAATTGGCAATCGAATGGCAAATTAGCCAAGATGTGGGTTTTATGGTGACAGTCGGAGGGGGAGGAAGAAGAAAAACTTCTTCCATTGCTGCCGGAGAAAATGGTGTTTGCCCTGGGTCCTGCCCAGGGACATTCTCAGCAGGGTCTTCTTGGTGTGTTTCTTCCCCACTGACAGTAAATGCCAAGGCCAGGCATGGACACTGCCGGCTTCTTTCTTTCAAGTAGAGCTTATTACAGTGGATTAGAATGGGATTGGGTTTGCACTACAAAGACCTCTAAGCTGAGGCCTGGCCCCAGCTCAGAGTCACAGACACAATGAGCAGGGATGCTCGGGCAAGGGAGGGAGGCACAGGCCAAGGGGATGAGTCTTGTCGGTTGGCTGGTTCTCTGCCCTGTGACACCTTTGTGAGCTCAGTTGTCATCTGGAACTGTTCCCCCTTTGTGTGGCTGTGGGCATTTGGGGTCTGTAAAAGGAGATAAAGAACAAGTCAACCGCCTAAGTTGCCTAACTCGGGGAGGGCTTATTTTTTTCTGGAACTTGCACAACCTAGGCACGTGGGGACTAGACAGCATGGTGCCAGAACTTGGCCTCCAAGTTTGGGACGCTTGGGACAAGACCTGCTCCTCACAACAAAAGCTGTTCTCCCGGTGCAACATGGCACAGTCTTCTTGCAATTTAAGGTCACTCTGGGACCTGCGTGACCCAACACTGCGCATGGTGACAGATGACGGGCCAGAGAGGAGGGGGAAGGAGCAGGATAAACGAGCTTTTGCCACCGTAACCTGAGTCCCCGGGACACCCTCTCCCATCGGCTCCTTTGGAGCTCTTGGTATTTTGCAGCCTTAGTCACCTGCACAGTAGTGCGCAAGGACACAGGCATTGTTTCAGCCCTGGGGAGCTGCCTGTCCCCCACCCCCACTCCCCCTGCCCTTAGCCCCAGGCCCCCTCCCCTCTGGCCCCAGAATTATGAGGATCCTGCATATGGAAGGAAGAAGGAAGACTGAACATAGGGGAGACGAAAGAATGACTACATTGTGCATAAGCATCTCTGCTGGAGACGCGGGGAAGCCAGTTGGAGATCAATCCCAGCTCCCCTCAGGGACTCTGTTCTGCTTAACAGGCTGCCAGACCCCCTGCTGTGGGGGTGCACCACCCTCCCTGATTTCTTTGCAGCTGCCCCAGGGGAGACCCAGGGAGCTGCTCGCTGCCTCCTGCCCACCTCCCACACCGTTTGTCGGGGACCCCCAGGATTGGTGCTTAGTCCCCAAGTGAGTCAAAATATGTAAATGCTTATAAAACCAACACCCGTGAGGTCCAGTCAGTTGACTCATAATCAAAGAAACCCGTCTGGGACCTGCAAAGCAATTGCAAAATAAATCAGGCCTTTGCACTTCTCAGATACTATGAAGGGGCATATGGACCTGAGCCCCTCTGAATTCCCAGCTCCTATTGATTCTACATCACAAAAGCCCACAAAGCCAAAGCAGAACTCTTTCCAGAAGGCCAGGAGGAAAAGAGAGCAGAAAAGGCAAAATCCTTGAGCAGCTAGAGGAAGGAAAAGCTGGGAACAATCACGTTAACATCACTGTCGCCCCACCCACGTGGGTCAGGCTGTGCAGGAGAAGTGCGCCAGCCTCATTAGTGGTGCGCTTTGGCCCCTGCCCCCCAGGAGCCCGGCAGTTTGCTGGGGGGAGGGCACACACACACACACACTCTGAAAGCAGAGAGTGGCTGTAGCAGAATGCATAGGGCATCAGCCAGCCAGGTGCAGGTGATAGGGAAGGCTCCCTGGAGGAGATGTCCAAAAGGAGCCAGGAGAGGGGCACCTGGCTGGCTCAGTCAGTACAGCGTGCAGCTCTTGACCTCGGGGTTGAGTTCAAGCCCCACGTTGGGTGTAGAAATTACTTAAAAAATAAATCAATAAACAAAAAGCCAGGAGAAGAGCCGTGGCAGGGCATTCTGGGCAGTAGGAAGTGAGTTGCTGGAGGAGATACTGACCAGCAGTTTGGTAAGAACCCAGCCGTATGGAGAAGCCTGGGTAAGATTGTGCAGGATGGAGGTGCCTGGGTGGCTCAGTGGGTTCAGTGTCTGCCTTCTGCTCAGGTCATGATCTCAGGGTCCTGGGATCAAGACTCCTTGCTCAGCGGGGAATCTCCCTCTGCCGCTCCCAAGCTTGTGCTCGCGCTCTCTCAAATAAATAAAGGGTAGGCTAGGATTTGTGTGTTAGCTGGAGCATTCCCCTCTGTGCAGTGAGAGGTGCCCACAGGTGGGGCCCGGGTGGGAAGCTATTGAAGGAGTCCAGCCTGGAGACACTGAGGTCTTGAGCTAAGCAGGGGCTGCGGCCATGGTGAGGAGGCCACTGATTGGAGAACCACTTAGGAGGCAAAGCTGGTGGGAAGTGGGCCTGAGGGAGAGAGAAGAGCCAAGCTGTCATCAGGGCTTCTTCCCCAAGCGCCCTGTGTGGTACCAGACGTTCTGCTATGGAAGCACAGGGTGGAGAATCTCCTAGAGCTGGAACGGATGGCCAGCTCCATCCCTCTGGTTGCCAAGTTCTGTGACCTGTGACTCCCTTTGCTGAAAGGTGACACAGGCTGAAGGCACAAAGACTTTCCAGAAGGCCCTAGATTGAGGTAGAAGCTCCGTGGCCTGGGTCCTGCCCCTGTTGCTCCTGTACCCCAGTGGATTTCCCTACCTGACCAGACTCTCCTTCCTGCAGAGCTCCGACGCTGGCTCCGGATCCTCCTCTGCACACTGCTCCACGAGGGGCCTGGCCCATCACTTGAAGCCTCTTAGCTTAGCCACCCTTGGCATAGATTGATTGGATTTCCGATCTCGTCTGCCACCCCCACGGGTCCCTGGGGCACGGGGCTGATGGGTAGTAGTGCTGTCTGGGCGGCTGGCCCCGTGCCGGGCAGAGTGCCCAACAGCTCCTCCCCTCCCTCAGGACCCGGCACTTTGCACTCCCCGGCAAGGCACACGGATGCACACCCCATCCACCGAATCAGTCCCCTTTGAGAGCTGCTTACCCGTGATCCCAGACCGTCCTGTGCTGTCGTACTTGGTATTAGAGTGACATCACTTAATTAAATGTTACGTAAACTGATGAAAAGAGCCAGGAAGGACAGAGTTGTTTTCATTAAAACCAGCACTTCCGAAAGTCTTGAGAGAAGCCACTTGCTTAAAAAAGCTATTGAATCAGGTGTGGGCAGGACAACTGTAAAAAGCAGGAGAAAGAAATGGAAAAGCAGAGAAGGATCCTCCACTCATCCCACTTTGCTTGCGTCTCTAAGCTGTGCTCCAGTTTAGAGACCCTGCCCCTGGGGATCACAGACACGGCAATATGGACGCAGCTTAGACATGAAAGACCCTGTGGGCCTGATCTCAAGCAACACCCAAGCCCTCCATGAAAACATGGGTGAATGGATGTACATTTCTATGCTGACAGTTAAAACAGAATGTTTAATCTATGAATATATCCTGTGTTATGACTCCCACTGTTGACCCACCAGCCAAATATAGGTCCCGTTTAGTCCAGAAAAGAAGGTTTCTACCACAGCGGGTGTTCACCAGGAGAGCTCCCTGTCCTCCCCTCTCCTGGGACTCCAACCCTATCAGTCTGGCTCCCATCTGCATTCACAAGGCCCCACTGCACATGACTGGATGAACTGGGATGAGCGCCCAGGCCTGCTGGCTCCCAGTTTGTTTCTTCCAGTAAAATCAGAGTGGTTGCAGACACGGGGTGTAGAGCCAGTCTGCCGCGGTGGGTACCCCCAGCCCTCCCACTTACCACCTCGGGCAAGTGCCTTGGCTTCCTCACCTGTAAAATGAGCGCAACCCTGTCTGCCAGGGTTGTTCTGAAGCTTCAGCGAGCTAGCACATGTCAAGTGCCTGGAGTGCTTTATAAGGGTTGGCGAGGACCGGAAATTTTGTACCTGTGATGTGCCTTGTTCCAAGGTAAAACGGCATTGCCTCGCACCCTGAGCATTGCCAGGTGCCAGCCTCAGAACAGTTGTCCTGCACCCAAGGGGGTAATCAGCCGCTTTGTTCCGGCAGAGGGGAGGCCTGCCCCAGCCCCTCTATCCCACATGCCTGCTGGTAGTGACTGGTAGGGGTAACCTCCGGTGCTGGTGTCTTTTCTTTCCAGTGGTTTCCAGTGACAGTGACAGTGACTCGGATCTCAGCTCCTCTAGCCTGGAGGACAGGCTTCTTCTGACGGGGGTCAGGGAGCCCAAAGGTGCCAAGCCCTATGGGGAGGCAGGTAAGCAGAGCAAGGATGCTGCTTGTTCCCGAAGGGCCCGCCCCCCCACACACACCCCGTGCAGATGGCGTGGCTGCTTCCTCCAATTGTGGCTCCCCAGCTGGTGTTGACGGGAGGGGGAGGGGTGCTAAGCATTAGCACCACTGCAGAGTGGGACAGAAAGGAGGCCCAGATGGATGTGCAGGGGTGGAGGGGGGAGGGCAGATCTAGCGCACCTGCCTGCACACCTGGAATTCCTCCTGAGGCTCCCTGTGAGCATCCCCTGGATGAGATTTTGTCTCGTGAATGATGAGAACTGTGAACGTCAGGTAGGAAGTTCCTTGGGCTTGCTCAGCTCTTCCGTGAAACCATGGTGGGGCCCTGAATACATACCTTGACCTCTTGGGCCTCTCTTTCCCTCTATTTAGCACAGATGGGATGGAGCAGGTGGTCCCCCAAAGTGTCTTAGAGTTTGAGCTCTCCTCTGTGACCTTGTCTTATGGATGAGAGTTAACGGGACCTGGAGGCTGGTGCAGAGAAGGCCTGGGGGCACATTTTTCTTTCCTTTAAACACACAAAGGGCCTTCCTGGGAAAAGGACCAAATCATTCAGTTACTCCAGAGGTTAGAACTGGGGTATTTGAAAAACATTTCAGGGAGGCTGATTTTAGTGCATAAGCAGAGAGCTTTATAATAACTATCCCGGCCTGGAAGGACATACCTCGGGGTGCTGTTCTGGGACCAAGGCGGGGTGATCTGCCGGAGCTGACACGGAAGGAATTCCCGGTGGGGATGGCAGTTCAGGCTAGATCAGAGATGGCAACTGCCTGGCACACGTACTTCCGCTCCCACTCCTGTGCCCATGGCAGACATTACAAGCTGATCGCAGTACTCTCCCACAGAGCCTGACGTGGCCTCAGAATCCTTCTCAGCACAGTTTTCCAAGTGGTCAGTATCAGTAGGTGGAGACCACGCAGGACATGACACGGGTTTCTGGACTAGATGATCTGTTAGGCCTCTCAGCCTAAGGATTCTTAGAAAAGTATAAAGGAAATTCACCTGCCTGCCTTGGTTTCCAGGGCAGCTTTTACATGCCCCCCTGCTCCCCACAGAGCTCTTGAACCCTCCCTCACACCAGCTCTCAGCTATGACCAGGGGGGTGTGGGAGATAGGAAAAGATGGAGCCAGTATTTCAGGCCCTGCCTCTGCACTCTTGGCTCAGCTCGGCTCAGTAACAGCTATACCTGAGGAAAGATTCCTTAGTTAATAAATAAAGGCAGCAATTAATAACCCCATTGGGAGGGTGCCTGGGTGGCTCAGTTGGTTAGGCGTCTGCCTTTGGCTCAGGTCATGATCCTGGAGTCCCGGGATCGAGTCCGCATTGGGCTCCCTGCTGGGCGGGGAGTCTGCTTCTCCCTCTGACTCTCCCCCCTTTCATGTGCTCTCTCTCTCTCTCTCATTCTTTCTCTCTCAAATAAATAACTAAAATCTTTTAAAAATAACCCCATGGGGGGGCACCTGGGGGCTCAGTCAATTGGGCGTCTGCCTTTGGCTCATGATCTCAGGCTCCTGGGATCGAGCCCCTTGTCAGGCTCCGTGCTCATTGGGGAGTCGGCTTCTCCCTCTCCCTCCACCCCTCCACCCTACACTCATGCTCTCTCTCACTCGTGCTCTCTCTCTCAAATAAATAAAATCTTAAAAAAAAAAACACATTGGGGCACCTGGCTGGCTCAGTCCATAGAGCATGTGACTCCTGATCTCAGGGTCAAGTTCAAGCCCCACATTGGCGTAGAGACTACCTAAATAAACATTTTTAAAAATTTCATTGGGTTAATGGAGATATACACCCTTCTCCCTCATTCTGTGAAGGCAGGAAAAACCCCTCCTCGTTGATGGTTTTCATGTTGGTGACTTGTTCTTTACTGAACTGACTTGAAGGCCTATGCAGTGACCTTCATATATCCTAGACCAGTGAGCATTGCTCAGAGGGTAGGATCTCTTGAGAACATGGCAGCCATGTGGGGGCAGCAGGTAAGGGGCTCTGAGCAGACAATCCCGTAGATACCTACTACAGTTCCAAGTGAGAAGATTTTATTTTCTTATCTATCTGTTTATTTTTTTTTCAATATATTGATTTATTTATTTTTAGATTTTATTTATTTATTTGACAGAGAGACACAGCGAGAGAGGGAACGCAAGCAGGGGGAGTGGGAGAGGGAGAAGCAGGCTTCCCGCGGAGCAGGAAGCCCGATGCAGGGCTTGATCCCAGGACCCCCGGATCATGACCTGAGCCAAAGGCAGACGCTTAACGACTGAGCCACCCAGGCACCCCGCTATCTGTTTATTTTTAAGTAGACCATGCTCAGCGTGGAGCCCAACACGAGGCTCGAACTCAAGACCGTGAGATCGAGACCTGAGCTGAGATCAAGAGTCAGACGCTCAACTGAGCCACCCAGACGCCCCCCAAATGAGAAGATTTTAGATCAGCTCCTTATCAGGCTGAGATCATCCTTGTCTCAGTTCAAGGTCCAAAGAGCCCACACATGGTCTCTTGCAGGTGGCAGCATGGAGTCCCCCAAGATGGGCCCCACCCGCTGGCCCAGCCACCTCATGGGGAGCCAGAACAGCCTGGCCAGTGAGACCAGGACCAGCTCTGCAGACCCGCAGCCGGGCACCCCACCCTGGCAAGACCCAAAGAGCCCCGGTGAGTACCAAGCTGCCCTTCTAACCCACCCAGCTCTCCCTCTTCTGCTTCCCCATGGTCCTCTTCCCTCACTCAATCCGCCCAAACTGGAGAGTGCTAGTGATGTTTGCAATTCTGTTTACTGAGTGCTGTGCCGGGCACTGGGGGATCCGATGTGAGCCAGACCCCACCCCTGCCTGCAATGAATAGAGAGAGAGACCCCAGATAATCATGGGAACCACCCCATCCATTCTTAGTAATCATAATGATGGTTCTTACCAACCTCTGCTTTGTGAAACATGTCATCTTTCAAAGCATCCCATCTCCAGTAGCCTTAGTAACTCCTGTTTCAAGAGTACCTACTGCGCCAGGCCACCCAGTCCTCACCAAGCCCAACTGTGTGCTCAGCCCGAGCAGGTAGGAGACAGTCCTTGGCCTTCAGAAAGGTCACCTACCTACCACCACCTACCATGTGGCTGAAGAAGCCGCATCAACTCACCCAGAACAGCCCAGACCTGAATCAGCGGGAGAATCCAGGACCACTGCAGCTGGCTGCATGGAGCCTCGCCTGCCCTCGCACCTCTGAGGGCCACCTGCGTTCTATTGGAGCAGTAGATGGGAGGCTTCTTACCCCTTTTGATGGGTGTGGAAACCAAGGGCAAGAACCCAAGCTCCACCCTGCTGTGCCCACTGTCCCTACCTGGCCAACTTGGGAGCATCATGCAATGGGGGTTGTCAGGGTGAAGGACCTCAGTTCTGCCCCCAGTCTCCTTCAAGAAAGAAGCCCCAGCTGGACTTGGCATCTCTGGGCCAGGGCCTGTGGGCATGCGGCGCATGCATGGATCAGCACAGCAGCTGACCCCCACCCCCCACCAGTAGGCTTTGTGTGCTGGCAGCCCCCCCACAGGGAAGCCTTGTGGGAGCTCTCACCCACTCTTTGTCTTCCCTCCTCCCCTTTCTCCTGCCTCGATGGTGCCAAGAAGCTGCAGGGCAGAGCATTTGAGAGGCCACGGGTGAGCAGGTCTCTGGGAGAGGGAGGCCCTGTGGCCGTGTATGTGGAGTGGATCCTCTCCCCCACTTCTGGCTTCCTGAAATCCCCCTCAGGGGACAGTTTGGAATCAACCATGTTTTAATCCCAGCCCTGCCACCCACAGACATGTGAACTTGGGCAAACCATCAGATTCAACCATGTGAAATTGCCTTTTTATAGATCAAAAATAGTCAGATATTGGCATCAATATGATTCAACCTAATATTTGAAGTCTCTGCACCCAGTTCCATTATTGCTAAAATGGGGACCACACTGTGTTCCTTGTGGGTTGGGGGGAGGGTGAAGTGCAACATTCTTGTGGAGTGCCAACCCTAAGTAGGTCTTCAGCAAATATCCGGTAACAGGAGAGGCCATGTGGCCCAGTGCATAGAAGGGGTCCCAGGGCTTATGAAACAAGCTGAGGGAAGTTTTCTATTCCCACACCATTCCCAAAGTTCAGGCTGTCGCTGGGGAGGGACCCCGCCTCTGCTCACCCTATAGTGGCTTTTTTTTTCCCTATCCCCTAAAGGCAAAAGGCACACCTGGGCAATTCCCCGCTGCTGACACGGCCTCCTAAGGCCCCGTTTGCCTGCCCTGGCAGAGACACGTTTGGTGCATGGAGCAGACTTTCCAGTGGAAGAGTTTGAGAGAGAAAGAAAACTGGGAGGGTCTGGTGAGCAAGCAATCTGGAGCCCTCAGCTGGTTGGACGTGACCTCTGACTCAACAAACCAATGTTTGGGGGGCTGAGTCTCCTTCCCCCCACTCAGTGCCTTTCTGCCCCTTCTCTCCTGGGAGCCCTCCCTCCAGCCCCCACCACAGCCATCCCACTCAGCCATGACCTTTATTTATTGTCCCTCCCCCGCACCCTCCCCCAGTCCACCTCCATGTTCATTTTAAGTTTGCTCTTGTCTTGGGTTGGGCCAGAAAAGCCTGCAGACCCACATTATGGGGCGCTCCCATATGCACTGCAGTTCTGGAGGGCACTGGGCTGGGCTTTCTCCATATTTGGATTAATGGAAGAAGAACCCAACCCTGAGCATTGCCCTTCAAAGCTGAGCTTGGCCCCTAGAGATAAGCAGTGGGTCCTAGAATGTGCGGGATGAGTAGCTCGTCCTCCCTTCCCTCTGCCGAGGGCTCTGAAAGCCAGAGCAGCATCCTCCCCTTGCTCGAGACTGGCTCAGGAGCTGTTGTCAAAACCTGGCCCTTGCTTGGGTTTCTTGGAACCCCTGTGACAGCCTCCCCAGGTTCTGCTCAGCCTCTCCCCAGCTTATGGAGCCAGGAGGGGCTCTGGTGGATACCATGAATTCACTCATTGAAGAGCAGCGTTCCGCTGCATCCCCAGCTGGGGTACAAGGCTCCCCTAAGCCTTTAATTCACTTCTCTTCAGTAAGTTCGGTTTGGCATGAAAAATAATTAATTCAGAGTGTGAGCAGATGCTTCTGGAAAACCCTTCCCTGAAGACAGAGATTGAGAGAGAGAGAGAGAGAGTGTGTGTGTGTGTGTGTGTGTATTGGTGTCTTCATCTGTCCATCCTGCCACTCTCCCACTGTCCCCCACACCTGGTCCTGGAAGGGCCTTCTCTCTGGGCTCTCAGGCCCCCACCATTAGGCTTTTTGCCCTTGCCACTGGCAGATGGTAAAAAGACTGACTGTTTCCCTGTGACAAGTTATGCTTCAGAATTGTAACAATAAAGATTAGAATTTGCATTGAGCCAGTGTGTTGGTCCAAAGACCACAGTCGCTTGTGTTTCTGAGATGCATCGATAGAGAAATGGATGGAAAAGAATGCAGTCTGTTGATCGCAGGAGCACTCCCTAAGCCATGGTGAAAGGAATGAGCTCAATCTCTGTGTGGTAGAACTCACAAACCTCATGTTAAATGGAAAAACAAGGCCATTTATGCTTAGAAAAAAATTTAAGTATACATGCAAATAATCAAAATGAATTGTACGAACTTCTATGCACAGGTGTGAAAATGCTTGTAAAATGGACAGGGGCTTGTGGTTCAATACAGTGGACTGGACACATTTGTATTTCCTCTGCGCCCCCCCCAAGCCCCTTTAGGATGACCTGAAAGAATGAAATGGCATAAGTTACAAAGCCGTAGAGAGGGGAGGGATGGCGGCGGAGAGGAGAGGTCTGGAAACTGGGAGACAGAAGAGTATACCTCGTTCAGTGTCAGCTTCCCTAGCTCCCCAAAATGTCTCCAAGGGAGAAAGCCAGCCATGAACAAGCCCATTTGCTTTGCAGAACCCACCAAATTCTCAGAACTTGGAGGGGCCAGATGTCCCTAATACGGAAATTAGGATGGGTATGAAAATAGTATTGGTGGGAAGAAGTTAGATCCCCAGGTCCCTCCTCGCAGCCCACACGGCCCTTCCCTGACCCTGGTAGACCCTAGTAGACCCAGGTTTACTGCTGGCCAAGGGTGAACTAGAAGGATTTGGTACTGGGGACCCCAAGCCCAGCCAAAGGCTGCAATAAGGCAGTGGTTAATGGAGAGACCCTCTGCCCCCTCCCTGGCTAACAGCTGGCTTATTCTCCATCCACCTGCCCCCGAGGCAAGATGTTATTCAGCCTGTCACTGGGGAACTGACTGAAGAGAGAAGACTGAGAGATCCTAAGGTTGGTGATTCCCCCTTCTCTGCCCAGTCTCCCACCCCGCCCCCCACCATGAGGCCCTCCCCCCCCCCGCCCCCTGTCCACAAGCCCTGCCCGCATGTACTATTTCTAGTAGCTTCGCTGTGTGGTACTCAGCTGGAACAGCCAAAGGCGCCAACAGTTGACCTAAACCAACAAACCAAAAACAGAGGTTCCAAGACACAGGAGAAAGGAGTGAGGGAACAACCCTCCGAAGATATTCACCCATGAAACAGGAAAAGAATGTTAGTTAGTTAGTTATAGAGAGAGAGAAAGAGAAAGCAAGCAAGTGGGGGGAGGGGCAGAGGGGAGAGGGAAAATCTTTTTTTTTTAAATAAAGATTTATTTATATATTTTAGAGAGAGATGGAGCAGGAGGACCAGTGAGGGGAGAGGGAGGGAGAATCCTCAAGCAGACTCCGTGCTGAACACAGAAGCCCATGCAGGGGGCTCAATCTCATGACCCTGAGATCATGACCTGAACTGAAATCAAGAGTGTTACTTTTAAAAAAAGAGGTAAAAAGGAAGTGTCCAGTCTCTTGAAAATTAAAAATATAATAGCAGAATTTAAAAATGCATTAGAGGGGCGCCTGGGTGGCTCAGTCCATTGGGCGTCTGCCTTCAGCTCAGGTCATGATCCCAGGGGCCTGGGGTCGAGCCCCACGTCAGGCTCCCTGCTCAGCGGGGAAGCCTGCTTCTCCCTCTGCCCCTCCCCCTGCTTGTGCTTTCTTTCTATCTCTGTCAAATAAATAAAGTCTTTAAAAAACAAATTTAAAAAATAAATAAAAATGCCTTAGAAGGGATGGAAGGTGAGAGAAGAATCTCCCAGGAAGTAAAACACAAGAAGAGATGTAAGCGTATGAGGAAAAAGTCAAGAAAATTGGACAACCCAAAGGTAAGACCCATAGGCCTTTCAAACCAAGAAACAAAATAAAGGGGAGAAAATTGTTGGAGAAATTATCTCCATCACCTGAGATCTTGTTGAAACAGGCTCTTGCTCGCGGGGCCTGGGCCAGGGGCTGCGAGTGTACGTGTAACCAGCTGTTGGCTGGAGGACCACACTCGGAGTACCACCGGTGTGGGCCGGGGGTAGTCACCACTGGCCAGGCATCGGAATTACCTGGGGGGTTTTACAAGCATATCATACCCGACACCCTCCCCTCCCCCCCCCCGAGATTGTGGTTTCATCAATTTGGGGCTCAGCCTTGACATTAGGATTCTGCAAACCTCCACACATGACTCCCATGTGCTTGCAGAAGCAAGAAGCATTTTCATACAGAAGCTCCTCCGAGTGGGCTCCAGGAGAGGTGTACAGAGCATTGAGAGCAGTACCTTTTTATTAGCCAAAAACTGGAAACCCCCTACGTAGCATCGACAGAAGAATAGCTACATAAGCGCTGATACAGTGTAGTCAAACAATGGAATGTGCTGGTGGAAATGAGTGGGTACTTTCAGCATAGATGACTCTCATGAACAGCCACGGGCAAAGAAACAGATGGCAGAAAAATACATGCTTTATGACACCGTCTATATCTAGATTTTAGAACGGGGAGAAATGACATATTAACATATATTTTATGCAGCGAAAGAATAAAGAAATGCACAGGAAGGGTAAACAACAGATCTCCAGGCACATCTCGAGAAGAGGGGGCCGGCTAAGGAGGGGTTTCGACGTGTTGGTGATGTTTTAATGTCACTGATGGATAGATGGTTTTGCAACATTTATATCGTAATATCTCATATATTTGCATTATTTTTATAGGTCTGAAATCCTTCAAAATAAAACCATTTAAGGAACTATAGCAAGCCTTCTTATCATAAAGTTTCAGGATCCCAGGATTAAAAATTCTAAGGGAAAAAAGAAAAAAGGCAACAAGTCACATACCAAGGATCAGGGATGTTAAATGGCATTGAAATTCTCAAAGCAGATTTTTAAAAAAGATTTTATTTATTTATCAGAGAGAGCACAAGCAGGGGGAGCATCAGGCAGAGGGAGAAGCAGGCTCCCCGCAGAGCAAGGAGCCCGATGTGGGACTCGACCCCAGGACCCCGGGATCATGACCTGAGCCGAAGGCAGACAACCAACTGAGCCACCCAGGCGCCCCCTTGAAATTCTTAATAATTTTGAACAAGGGTCCATATTCTCATTCTGCACTGGGCCCTGCAAATTATGTGGCTGGTCGTGGCTGGCTCGAATGTTCTTCCTGGGTGCACACTCTGTAAGTATGGCCAGATCCTCCACCAAGGCCTGATGAAGAGAGTCCTTAAACTCTCCACCTGGGCTGGAGGCCAGAGCCCCTGACAGGGAACGTGGGACACAGGTCCTCATCCTGGCCCTGCGGCCAGGCCTCTGCCTTTGTCACTCGCCATCTATGAGACAGGGAATGGAACTCAATAGAGAGGTTTCTAAGTGTGTCCCCCAGAGCTCCCTGGGGTGGGGGGGGCACAGGAAGTCCCAGGGGGCTGCCAACATAGGGGCTCCCCTTTGACCTGTTCTCTCTGCTTCGGTCACAGCAGGAAGGAGGCAGAGATGGCTAGAAAGTGACCTGTCTCGATCCCTTCCCCCGGGCTGCCCACCCAAGCACTCTGCCTCTCGGGAGGGAGGAGAAGCCTCCAGCATGAGGCTACCAGGTGGAGGGCCCAGCTGTGGGAGAGGTGCTCCAGGTACCAGCCAGAAACCCTTGCCAGGGGAGATAGACCCCCCCACACACACACACACCCCACACATGCTCACACTAGCGCACACAGACACAGAAAGATTCGACTGTTTACAAACTGCGTGACCAGTTGGTTCAAACTGCTCATCCAAAGAGCCAGCAAAGGCTCTTCCACACAGGAGAGGGATGAGACCAAAGGAAAACCCCGCACTGGCCTTGCCCAGACCGCAGACAGCCAGGGCTCCGACCTGCACGCACCCAGCCGCACCCCTGGGCTGCCTGTGCAGAAGGCCAAGGAGAGCGTGGTCACCCCATCAATACCGTGGAGCTGGGGAGGGGAGAGGTGGGTGGGAGCTGGAGGAGCCCCAGGAGACCCGGACTAGCCTTCAGCCAGACAGGCGAGCTCCCAGGAGACCCCAGGATGTCGGCAGCTTCCCCAGTGCCAATTACTGGAGAAATAATTCAGCGTGCTCACCCCCTGCCTCTCAGCAGACACTCTTTGGGGACATTTTAAGACTGACTGTACTTGCTGAGCCGCTGACAAGTGAAGCCTCTCCCTCACTCCCTCCCGCCTTCTGACTGCCATCTCTCCACCTCTCTGTCCAGGCTCATTCACGGTTCAGGAGGGAAAGGGAACAGAAGGCTAAGAGTTGTCATTCTGCCCCCCGCACAGAGCCGGGACTCTGCTTCCAGATGGGGTGGGCAGGGCTGGGTTCCCTAGAGTCCGTCCACCCCACCCGCTCCTTCAAGGCAGAGGCAGTGTCTTATTCATCCCTGGTTAGCTGTCAAGAGATATTGCCGATTGCTAGATGCGTAGCCTGGCAGGTGGATGAGTGGGCAGACGGGGGATGGAGGGAGGGAGGCAGAGAGGGATGGAACAGAGCCCAAACGTGGCCTTTCCCGATGCTTAGGGCTTTCCAAGTCTAAACGGATGACTCAGCACCAGTCCCTATGAAGCACAGCTGCTAATATCTGGGTAGTTGGCCCCGCAAGTCCTCCTGGGGAGGAACTTTGTTTAGGAAAATACTTTTAAAGGCTGATCACAGAGGATCGCGAGAACCCACTTCACCAGGGGACCAAGGCCACACAAAAGATATCAGAAGTGAACAGGTCTTCAGAGAAGGGAGAGAGGTGAGAGAGTGAAACCAGAGAGATGGGGACATCCCTGACTGCACGTGGCACGTGGCGTGCCATGTCCCATTGGATGCCCTTGGATACCCGCAGCAATAGAAGCCACTCCTCACCCCACGCTGACCGTCCCCAGGGTCACCTGCATGCCCAGATGCTTATGCAGATGGATTTGGGTGAAGAAGGGCCTGAATTTCACATCTGAATCTCTGTGGTTCAAAAGCTTGAATATGGAAACTGAAGCCCGCCCCCCAACAGAGAGTTAGCCAAAGCAAGATCTCAGAGCCCCAGTGAGCTGATGCTCAGGATTAGGCAGGAACCTGGGCAAAGGCTCTGGCCCTCCCCAGGGCACTGGAGCGGGCTCTGAGGGCTCCTGTCCCGGACCTGAGGACTGTGGAGACCACAGCCACCATGACCGCCCATCCCAGTCTCCCCACAACTAAGGGGCGTCCCAGGATGCAGGATGCAAGTGCCCAAACCAGCAAAGTTCCCAGGCCGGTTGGGAAGAGCCCATCTCCATAAACAGCTGACATCTGGGTCACACGTACCACGGCTGGCGGCTAGACGACACTCTTCACACACTTCCCCTCCGTTAGTCCTCACGACACTGGGAGGACGACATTATTCCTCCCACTCTGCAGATGAAAAAACTGAGGTTGGGAGACGGTAAGCGGTTGACACAAGATAACACAGCCAGCAGGGGGCGGAGCGAGGGCGTGCACCGGAGGCCCCTGCTCTTAAGTGGTGTGCTTACGTCCATGGTCTCCTGAGGATGCTCACCTTGCGGAAAACCGCAAGCAGCCTCCTCAAGCAGCCTCACTCCGCGCCCTGGTCCAGGGCCATGGTCTCATTTTCTGGAACCATCCCCACTCCTGCCGGTGGCTTTGCCTCCCTTGGTGGCTCCCAGAAGGTCTCCGCCACCCCCAGCCCTCAGCCAGCAGGGCCCTGCAGAACTCCACCAGGACTCACCTCTGCAGAAGAAACAAGAAGCCCTCCCCGCTCCCTGCCCTGGTTTGTATCCTCAGCCCCATCCCCCTGTATCCCACGCCCTGTCCCCCCACCTGACAGCAGCACCTCCTTCATCCGCTCCGAGAGTGGGAAGCGGCGTTTCCCGCCCGGCCCGGGGATTTCCAAGCTGGGAATTCAAACAGCTCAGCACGGAATAGGCTCAAACAGAGTCAGCTAATGGAAATAACAAGATGATAAATTATTCCAGGGAAAGAGCGATTTTCCTTATACCCTGCTTGACTCAGAAAACACTGTGATCACAGTAGAAATTGGAGCTGTCAGAGCTGGTATCTGGGGAAAGAGAAATGAAAGCATTCTCCTTTCTGCTGTCAGTACAGCCCCGGGGGTGAGAGAGAATGTGAGGTCAAGCCCAGGCTGGGCCCGAGCAGGCGTGTCCTCCTTGGAAGCTCCAAGCAGCAGAACCTGCCATCAGCTGGCTGACGAGGCTGGGGAGTCAAGGGCAGAGAGCCCAGGCCCTGGAGATAGGCGAGGCTGTGTTCTCTTCTCAGCTCTGGCACGAGCTGGCTGTGTGATCTTAGGCAGATAACTCAACCTCTCTGAGACTCAGTCTCCTGGAGATAACAATCATGATGACTACATGAAATAGTGTCTGGCACATGCTTCAAACCTTGCCTCGTTCGTGGTAGGGGCAGTAAATGCCCTGACTTACCCACTCTTTCTGGGTATGCCCACTCCCCAGGATCAGAGGGGGCACAGAATAGCTACTGGGCTCTGGGGGCAAGCTCCGTCAGGGGAGGACAGGAAGTGCAATTGGATCTATGATCCTGGGGTACCAGGCCCGCCCAAGGGCCAGCTCCCAGGGGGAAGCTCATGCCCATGCCCAACACTGCTAATTTCGGGGGGCGGAGGAGTAAGGGGGTTGCCCAGACCGACCCCTCGCCTCCTGCCAGCCAAGGCACTCACCCTGTGGTGCTCTCCACTCTCCCTGAAGCTTCCAGATAACCGAAATTCATCCTTTCCCTTGTGAGTTGGGGTCTTGGTTTGGTTTTATGATTGCTTTTTAGCCAGTTTTATGGAAACCTTCCTGAGATGTCTTAGGAGCACCTTTTTCTCCAGATCAACATATAAGTGTCTTGTCAATTTTGCTTGACGACTCAGGGTGCTGTGGAAAGGAGACGTCCCTGCCCCCACACTAAACGACCCTGGGCTGTTGGGGTGTGGACTTTCCCCTGAATGCTCCTGTTAGCTGGCAGGCCCCCCACTGTCCTCCCAGCTGCCTTTGGAACCTGCTGGCCACTGCTCCTGGGGCTGGCGCAAGGGAGATAAACAAGTTTTACCAAATCATTGTTCTTAATTTGCAGTGAGGCCAAAGCTTGGGCTCCAAACTGAGCTCTGTTCTAAAGACTTTTTTTTTTTTTTTTTTTTTTTTTTACTGTTCAGAGGCCTTTGATTCCTTCACTTCCCCAGAACTGGCTGAGTTCCCGGAGTTGAGGTTGCCTTGAAGTCTGACTGCTGAAGGAGAAAAAGAGTTTCCGTCCATTTTGTTGTTAACTCAATTCAGAGTCTGAGCTGGTAACATAAAAATTCCAAACATCCTGGATAGCCTTTCCTAAACTAGGTTGTTTTGGCAAATACAGATATGAAACCGGGGAGGACAGAACAAAAGAAGTCCCAGATGTGGGCTGAGGTATGCCAAGTGGGGATCACCCCAAAGAGGCCCAAACTTTAGGGGGGCCACAAGCCAGAAAAATCTCCCCCGGATTTGGGGGTTGGCATGCAGTTGCCCACATTTTTATCTTGCCACGTAAGAATATAAAATCATAACCGCCATATAAGTTCATTCTCATTTCAGAAAAGAAAGGAAAAAGAATCAAGAAAAAGGCCATCTTTTTCAAATTAAGTGGATTTAACTTTGTAAAAAAACAAACTTACTATGTGGTTTTCTGCTTTTCCTCTTTTGCCATGGGGGGAAAACCTTCATCATGAACCTGTCAGGTGACCAGCTTTTGCAAAGCCCCAGGCGGGATCAAGACTTGGGAGCTGGATACCAGAACTCCTGGGTCCAGGTCCGGGGAAGCCCCCGTGCTGTTGTGTGGGAGGGGGCTGGGTATTCCTGGCCCCTCTGGAGCAGAGACACAGCCCAGCTTTGCATCCAGAGCTCACCTCTTGTTAGTTGTAAGATGCTGCAGAAGACGCGCGTGCCTCAGTTTCCCATCTAAAATGGCAGCAGGGGGGTGCCTGGGTGGCTCAGTCATTAAGCGTCTGCCTTCGGCTCGGGTCGTGATCCCAGGGTCCTGGGATCGAGCCCCGCATCGGGCTCCCCGCTCAGCGGGAAGCCTGCTTCTCCCTCTCCCACTCCCCCTGCTTGTGTTCCCTCTCTCGCTGTGTCTCTCTCTGTCAAATAAATAAAATCTTAAAAAAAATAAAAGAAAATGGCAGCAGGAACCATGCACACCTCGTGGGCCCGGGATGAAGCCACGTATCTGGCACCCAGTGCTTGCTCACTCAGTGTTTTTGTTTTGTTTTGTTTTGTTTTTAAAGATTTTATTTATTTATTTGACAGAGAGAGACACAGTGAGAGAGGGAACAGAAGCAGGGGGAGCAGGAGAGGGAGAAGCAGGCCTCCCGCCGAGCAGGGAGCCCGATGCGGGGCTCGATCCCAGGACCCTGGGATCATGACCTGAGCCGAAGGCAGACGCTTAACGAACGACTAAGCCACCCAGGTGCCCCTGCTCACTCAGTGTTTGCTGGTGCCTTTTCAGTGGGGCTCCCACGGTTCTGTGCAGGTCTGTGTATGTTCAAATGAGTCCAGGGACAGGAGGGATCTTCGGGGACAGGAAGCATCCAGGCCAGGAAGCAGAGACACAGTGGATCGGACCCCTGGCAACGCAAGGCTGGGCTGGCCCTATGGCTCCAGCCACTCAGTGAAGTCTCCAGAGATCATACCCAGCTCCGTTTCCCAGGTGCTGAAATTTTATTTAACAAAGGCCCTCGGCAGACACGGGGCAGAAGAGGGGGCTGTGGGTACAGAGGTGGGGCTGAAACCCCCACTCCCACCCCCCCACACACACTCTGACATTCTCTCCTGAACACTGATGTGTGCGTGTGAGCATGGGTGTGTGCACCTGTCCGGGCGGGTGCAGATGTGTGCACAAACCTGTACGTGCACGTGGTCACTGTATGAGTGCGCGTGTGCATGCACAGATGAAGGTAGGTACGTCTGTCCTTGGTATATGCAGGAGCACAAAGGAATTTAAAAGTTGGTTCTGACCTCTCTCTCTCCCTTTCCACCTGTTCTCCCCTTCCTTTTTCGCCCTTTCTCCCTTTCCAGTAATAAAAAAAGACAAGCTGCAGAGGGGACTAGAAGAGGGCCAGGGGACCTGGGAGTCACACGGACCTGGGTCTGAATCCCAGCTCTGCCAGTCCCCATCCCAAGCCTCAGCGTCGCACCCGTGGGATTAGAGTGTTTGCCTGCCAGGCTGTACCGCGGGCGAGTGAGCGCATTCGGAACAGCCGGCAGTGGGCCTGGGGCGTCGCAGGCCCTGGGCTCAGGAGGCTGGGTTCACAGCCTGTTCTGTAGGTTTCTGGCAGGGTGAGCTTGGGCAGTTTCTCGCCCTCTCTGTGCCCTGTGTGTCTCTTGCCGGGGCTGTGAGGGCTAAGTGAGTGATGTACGGAATGCTCTCAGACCGGTGCTTGGCACACAGTGGTAGCTTTATAAGGGCAGCTATTAAAATGTGTATGAGGGCGCCTGGGTGGCTCAGTTGGTTAAGTGACTGCCTTCGGCTCAGGTCATGATCCTGGAGTCCCGGGATCGAGTCCCACATCGGGCTCCCTGCTCGGCGAGGAGCCTGCTTCTCCCTCTAACCCTCCCCCCTCTCATGTACTCTCTCTCTCTCTCAGTCTCTCTCTCTCAAATAAATAAATAAAATCTTTTAAAAAAAATGTGCATGAAGAAGCATTTAGAGAAAAAGAAAAACCAAAAAAGCATTTAGACTTTTCAGGAGGGATGGAACTGTTCTAATATTAGATTGTGCTGATGGTTGCGCCACCCTGTAAATTAACTAAAAATCATTAAGTCGTACGCTTAAAACGGGTAAGTTTTATAGTATATAAATTATACCTCAATAAAGCTGTTTTTTTAATAAAGCATTCAGAGCCGAGTTGCAGAATAATACATGCAGTATTTGTGAAGTTTTAAACTGTGTAAAACAATACTTCTCTAATACAAATATGCATAGTAAAAATATCAAAGGCAGCCCGGGGGGAGGGGGTCCACGTCAGCTTCGTAATTATGCTTGCCTCCCCCCCCCAGGGTGGGCATGGGACCCAGGAAAGGAAAGTTTTATCTGTGATATTTTACGGTATTGGTATTTTTAAAAGACTGGGAATCCAGGCCACGGTGTCACAGAAACCAGAGAACAAAATGGCAGGGGAAGCGGGCGAGTGAAGGACCCACACTGGAGGCTTGGCGTCTGGAGGTCACTTCCTTATTTCGAGACTTCTGGGCTGAAATGTGATTACGCATCGCGCTTTGGGCAATTTTCAAGGTTATAATTCACTTTTTTTTTTTAAGTTAAGAACCCTCTCCAAAAAAAGATGAAAATGTTCTTTTTGTTGAGAATGCTTTTGGGTTTGTTATGTTAATCTCTATACTCTATACTCTTACGTATTGAAATTCAAAATAGTTAAAACAAGATAATGGCCTGCCTTGCAGGCTGGGGTGAGGGTTGTAGAGGGTAAGGAGCCTCCTCTGGGACTACAGACTGAAGCACGTGGGCTGAGGTGGGGGGGGGTCAGGCCTGGAGCATTGCCTTGGTCCTCCCTCCTCAACCAGGGTGGCCCTGGGGTTGCCTCAGTCCCCATGGGGGCAGCTGGGCTGCAGCGGCCCCTCAGCCTGCTTCCCCCCCCAACCCTGCCCCTGGCTCCCAGACGCCCTGAGCACTGGCAGACAGTTGGCAAAGGGGCCTCAGACAGCCTCCCTGATTTACCAGGCTCTCCACGTCTCCTGGCTGATGGATGACCTGTG